TTGATCTGGTTGGTGAGAGCGCCCGTGGATGGGACCTGAGTGGTCCAAGGTCCACAAGAGAGCGAATCGTGGTCGCTGACAGAGCAAGTGCCGGCAGTATACAGAATTGTGGTTGGGAAAGGTACTCGCTCATGTCACTCCAGTGGTTCACGGTTACTGGGAGAACGAAACGAGGGCAGGTGACTCGTTGACAAGCGAATGAACTAGGAGACTGACTCGTAGTGATCGTGAAGCTGGCACCTGAATGGCAGATGGTTACGGAGCGGTAGAAGGAGACTGTAAGCACGCGCTGATGAAACTACAGCGTTCGGCGGCTGGCGGAGGCCCGAAGAAGCGGCAAGAGACTGGACCCTGGAGAACAATTTGGGCGGCTCGCTTATCTCTATCCTTGAGAGTCGTCATACCTTAGTCGTCTACTAATTGACGAGGTTCTGATGTTTGCAATCGATTTGATGTCCCTACTCGTAACTACCGGTAACACAACATCAGTTCTCCCACACTCTCCACCCCTCGATTAACTATTGCGGTATCTCTCCCTCAACTGGGGCGTCCCAGTTGTACGCCAGCCAACTGCTCGTTTTCACCAACGATTGAAATGGTCTCATGGCTTCCACGCAGTGAGGAATGAATCATATATCGAATGGTTGGCCCTAACGACGAGCACAGCAGTTTGAACAACTTGGCTATGCTTCATTCAGCATGGCAACCTTACTCGGCTGGAGTTTAATGCCTGCAACGGGACTCGAGAGTGTAAATCATCGCGCAGCCACTTGGTTTAAAGTCTTTCGTCGAGCTATCTCTTCTAAGCTCTAAACGTCTGTCGATATCAGCCGCGAAGCACTAAAAACTTCTTCAGTGGTTCCTCCGCCGTTAACTCGTCGATGCCGGAGACTGCGTCAATAGTCAGCCGGCCTTGTATAACCCGAGCAGGCTATGTCGGTGCCACAAGCTCCCTCGCTACCTTGGAGCGCCTCGAACGCCTCTAAGGAGCAGGATCGGGAAGGAGTTATCCCACACACACGAATATCTACTCGTTTGTCTCTGGCCAGGTTTTGTCTTTCTTTAGCATGTCGAATAGCGGCGCCATAATGTGTGAGATGAATGGTCTCAGGTAGCCGCACATCCCTAGGAAGGTTGCTCGCTGGTGCGGGCCGGTGCGCTGACGATTGCTTCTCCTCCTGAACCTTTACGCCCGTCTAACCGACGACGTATCCGAGGTACTTCACTTCATCCTTAACCACTCACTCTCGTCCATGCGCACTCGTCCCGACCTTCCTGTACTGTTCCAGGAAAGTACTGTTCCAGGAAAAGCTTGACTCGCTGCAGCACGCTGGCGAAGTTCTGTCCACAAGTGACGATGTCCAACGTAGCATTTTCTCCCAGTGGCGGTGCGAAGCAGGAATCCACGTTGGAACTCGGCGGGCGAGTTCTTGATGCCGAATGGGATGAGCGCCTTGCACCCCTTACGAGCGGCAGCCCACTCGCTCTTGGAGGGTCGGATGACTTAGGAGCCTGTGCTGTGGGTGACTTGGTCCGCGCGAGCCCCCGACAGCCTTCCCCCGCTCGCGGTGGGGATAGGTGAAGCAGCGGGGCTCATTCGTGCACCGTACACGGCTTGTTTTCTACACGCTTCGCAGGCACCTGTACCACCGCGTTTGTTGACGCTGCTGTCACATTTCGGACCCGTCAATGGGCCGAGTGAAGACTGCAAGTGGCCAGCGGAATGCTGGGCCTTCAACAGACCAACCATGTAGTACATTTCAGAAGAAATCACAAGATCTACGGAACCGGGAATTCCGGAATGCAGCTGAGGGGAGTGCGGAATAAGCTGGCTGGATGACGTCTTGGTGGTGGTGGTGCC